TTAAAATTTCATTTATCAAAAACTACATCCATCTTTTATTATTGTTGGGTTTGTGGAGGATGTCACGCGTCTCTTATTCTGAAAAGTCTTGCAGAGGACTGGAGCCTGTTCTAGGTGGCACAGGGCTGGGCTACACCCAGGACAGTATGCCAGGCCATCACGGAATACACACACACACACACACACGCACACACACAAACAATGGGTGATTTAGAGACACCAGTTAGACCGGCTGCATTTCTTTGGATTGTGGGTGGAAGCTGGAGAACGCAGAGGCACCAAGTGGCGATTGACGCATGAACACAGAGGCAGGATTCGCACCCTAAACACTGATTTATATTTATGTGTAGAATCTATGCCGTTGGTAGAGCGTCGTAGGTACAGAGTAGCCGCACACCCTGTGCTGCTGGAGCCTGACATGTACCTCCCAGGAAATATTACTGCACATCACTGCGTAGATTCTACACCGAAGTATGAATCAGGCTTAACACTGGAGGTGTGACACCACAGCGTTACCCACTGTGCCATCATGTCGAGGGTCACCACACGTCCAGGATTCCCCAGACATCTCCTCTTTTTGGGGCCCATGTCTGGGCGTCTGGATTTTTTTTCAAAAATCGCCTGTTTGCCCAGGTTTAGCACTGCAACCCACGTGACCCAGTGTTGCAAGTTACAGTGAAGGAAAAGGCACCAGTTTCCAGTGCATGGCGGCCACTCAGTATCGTCGTGCAGCGTTTGCACATTTTCTTTAAAAAATAAACGATATGGACATCCCTACGTGTTTTCGGAAGTCACATCACTTAAACATTTGTATTTGTGGCATTTTGTGAGTGACAGTGTCCTCTTTTTTGTCTCACCGAACATGGTAATCCCAATTGTGCCCCCCTATTTTACATAGATTACAGATCTACAAAATAACTGTTGAGGTGCTGTGGTTAACACTGTTGGCTCCTCTGGGATCAGGGTTCGAGTCTCCACCATGGTTCTGTGTGTGTGGAGGTTCTCCTTGTGTCAGCCATTCCTGGACCTTCAGTGTGTAGCATTTCCTTCACCACTCTGTGCCCTGCTGTCTTAGGGACGATAACTTTTCCGTACGACCCCAATCTCTCCGCAGAACATCCTGACAGCCATGAACCAATCCTGGCACCCTGAGCACTTCTTCTGCGCCGAGTGTGGAGAGGTGTTTGGTTCTGAGGGTAAGTCCCAGGAGGAACCTGGTGTAGCTTTGACGCTGAAGGCCCTGTATCCATCATCATGTTTCAAAATAAAAGTCCCCCTGCTCAAAGTCTGCTGCTGTTGCAGGGTACATGGAGCACGAGGGCAAGCCTTACTGCTGCAATGACTTTTACCGGCTCTTCGCGCCCAAGTGCTCTGGCTGCGGAAAGCCAGTGCAGGAGAACTACCTGTCTGCGGCCAACGGGACCTGGCACCCACAATGCTTCGTCTGTGCTGTATGTCGCCTTCTGCCCGGACCGGCGTGAGGGCCATCTGTACCATATGTGTGCCACAAACACGCCATCCTTACACACAAAGCCAGGGGGCGCTCATGAGCAGTGTTCGTTGTCCTTATGCAGGGGTGTTGCATTGCTAATAGGCATGATTATCGATTGGAGGGTTTTTCCTGGAGGACAGACTGTAAGATCTGTCACAGAAACAAAGCGTCACCACATTCTAGATGCAAAGCGGTTTATTTTAACCTTATTCCCCCCCCCCCCCCACAAAACACGTCCCCTCCCCATTCTCCTCTCCTCATCTCACCATACCTCCTCTGTAAATGTCCCAGCACCAACACAGACAGTCACAACAGACTCTGACCAGTAGCTGGACAGGGGCATTGGAAATAGGCAGGATAAGTGGGAGGGGTCCCCCCCAACATCGACAGACCCCCCTTTCCCAAAAAATAAGTAAATAATCGAGAGCGTGCTCCTTATCTTTCATTATGAATCTGCACGCCAATTTGTTTGCATGCACAGCCCAAGGACGAGACGTATACCCAATGAACGCTGTAGCTCTGTATCTATCACACATGTTATCATATGGATCTGTTATGTTGTTTTTCGTGAAACTATACTCTAAACACTGTATTATTCTAAAATTATTTTAGAGTCTTTCGTACATAGCATCCTAACACGATGTGACTACAGAATGAGTATTGCGATGATTACTGCGATAAGCAACGTGCCCTGAAATTGCCCTCCCCCCCCCCCCCCCCCCCCC